AGGTAAAAAAAAAATGTTAATGACATTAAATGATAAAATGGCTTCCTGACAAGTATGTTCATGGCAGATTTATGACAGGTTTTGTGGTCTTGATATTGTCATGTTGTCATTACAAAAGCAAAATAAGCTTGTGATGTAATTGTTTATGTCAAGTTGCCATAATTACACTTATTTACACTTAATTACAATTGTGGTAAGCATGCATAACGTCTCATTCACATTCATGATATGTCATGATCATAAAGGTTTAATAACAGTCTTATGAACTCGAGTGATGCCACATTTTCATATCTATGTTTAAAATGTGTAAGGGGTTAAAAGTCTTTTGGCGTAGTCATATTTTCCTGATTCAGAGCATTAATCCCAGTGCTGACTCTCTCGCTGACGTCAGTGCTCTCAGTCATTACCTTATCATGCTGAATCAGGATAAGCACATCCACAAGCGTCAGATTAGCAGATGTAAAACCTGCCAGCGAACTCATCCCTCTCTCAAAAAAATGAGTTTTGCTGTTTGTTCAAGCTACTGATTTAAAAAGAGCTGAATCAACACAGATTTTGAGTTGTCTTTGGGACAGTTGAATAGTTTTATGCAGGGGCGGACTGGGACAAAAATTCAGCCCTGGCAATGTAGCCACACCAGCCCACTACCACACCGACACAGCCCCACCCACGGACCCACACATTCACTACTTATATGGTGTACAGATGGTGAAATAATATGAGCAGTACCATATGTTATAGATATTTAAACATTAGATGCATGTGACTGAAACAAAAGCAACTCGTTTATAACAAATGTATGCAAACAGTAAACACTTAATAACAAAATAATCTGTGAATCTTGTAAAGTCCATGTGCTGTCTGTTTATACCGTTTGTCTGCCATTACTTATAATAGGAGTAACCTGTGAATGTGAACACACCTTTCCACACAAATGGACATGCAGCACTAGCAACACTTCAGCATAATTTTATTCACAAATAACTATATATGTCTTTTCTGCAGTGGTGTTCTTTATTGCCACTGTCTATATGCTGTCTTCTCCTTGTTTAGTTGACATTGTACACATTGTCTATCTGATTCTATATCTTCTCATCTTTTTTAACTCTCTCACTGTGTCATCATTATTTGAATCACTCCTTATGCTAGGCTTTGCCTCATTCTTGTTTAGAATAAATATGTGCTTATTAAACAATTATAGGTGACCTAATGAATAAATATTAATTGTTATGATGACCTACTGTAATGTACAGTCTCTGGCTGCAAGAAACCAAGCAGCCATTGGCAATTGGGCCAAATGCCTAACCTTTATTATTATTATTATTACTATTATCATTATTATTATCCTCCTCATCATAATATCCAATTTAGCAAGAGATAAAAGCTGACCACATCTAAAAACAATACAGATTAAAAAAAAATAAAATTAAAAAAAACTGACCGGTCCACATTTAAAAAATGGTCCGGCCCTTCTGGCATTAGCCAGAATTGCCAGATGGCCAGTCCGCCCCTGGTTTTATGTTTAATGCTCTTAACCCTTGTGTGCTGCTGGGTCGTTTTCATCCACTCTGGGTTGATTTTAAACCTTGATTTAGCCACAACTTTCTCTTTGTTTCAGCAAATGAAATGCTTTTTGGTGATAAATCTTATTTTGAAACATATTTTGGGAAAATGCTTTGGAATAAAAAAAAAAAAAAAACTGAACAATACACTCTGAGCAAATTGACTACGCTTTGCTTATGTTGGTGGCTGTTTTTCCCCTTTGACTTCCATTATAATCACATCCTTATTCATTCATTCATTCATTTTCTTGTCGGCTTAGTCCCTTTATTAATCCGGGGTCGCCACAGCGGAATGAACCGCCAACTTATCCAGCAAGTTTTTACGCAGCGGATGCCCTTCCAGCCGCAACCCATCTCTGGGAAACATCCACACACACACATTCACACACACTACGGACAATTTAGCCTACCCAATTCACCTGTACCGCATGTCTTTGGACTGTGGGGGAAACCGGAGCACCCGGAGGAAACCCACGCGAATGCAGGGAGAACATGCAAACTCCACACAGAAACACCAACTGAGACGAGGTTCGACCCAGCGACCTTCTCGCTGTGAGGCGACAGCACTACCTACTGCGCCACTGCCTCGCCATATCACATTTTTTAAATGCAAAGCCATGATGGCATATAATCATGCATTCTTGATTGATGCCCGTTGGGAAAAATGACGATTTGTAATTTGTATTGTTGATCATCCGTTACGTTGCAATAAAGTGTAGTTTCTGGCTCTGCACGTGCCAGAAACGATCCGCACATTCAGAGGTTTTTCATTATGTATTTGTTACATTTTTGATTCTTTAGTATTCGAAATGTGTACGTTGTTATATTGCTACTTTGTTTATTTTCGTTGCAGATATTGGATAAAAACACTCACCGGCCACTTCATTAGGTACTGTCCAGCTGCTCGTTAACGCAAATTTCTAATCAGCCAATCACATGGCAGCAACTCGATGCATTCAGGCATGCAAACATGGTCAAGACGATCTGCAGCAGTTCAAATCGAGCATATAGGGCTGATTACGGAGCTAATAAGGAGCCAGCCGTGTTGATTATAAGCACGTGATCCTCTCGAAATTAGTTTATGAATAAACCGCACTCTGTATATTGACTGATCGCTTGCCTTTATTTCCTCTATTGTATAAACTTATTGTATGTTATACTTTTATAATGGCCATTATTGATTATTAATACTGATATCCAGCAAAAAAGGGGTGTGTTTTGTATTTTCAATGAAAATGAAAGGAGGCAGTGATGTATAGGCTCTGTTTTGTTGTGAATATGCACACAGTGAAGATGACGCTCGTATATGCAGCACAACGCCTCAACATTTCTGCTGTCTAAGTTGTTAATATCAAATGAAAATAGGCAGTTATTTATATCATGTTTTCATTTTATTGTTGAGAAAGTGAAACAATGTAGCCAGGATGAAGTGAATGAGGTTATACAGTACACTGTTCCCGTTGAAGATTTACCGACGTGTCCTCGGGAGTTTGTTTTCCTTATCAAACTTGCGAAGTCTGAACTTACAAGGAGAGGACGCGAGACTGAACTGTGTGTGTAGGCTACTTTATATCAAAGGGCCATGAAACCCCCTCGTTTCAGCAGGGTGTTTTCACACCTCTACTTTGGAAAAAGTCAGAAAAGTGGGCGTGTCCAGCTCTGTTTAGGGCGGAGTTTCGGAGGAAAAAAAGTGGGATGGTGTGGGAGTGTCTATTTGGGCAAGCGCGAGTTTCAGAGTCAAAACACACACACACACACACACACACACACACACACACACACACACACACATACAGGAGAAAGTGATGGTGTTTAACCTACATGGACATCTGTAGTCGAATTATTTGCCAAATTATTAAATGGTGGACTTTAACTGCAGTTTGGCTCCTTTATTCAGGGAATTCATTCATGCCCCTCGCGACAAATGAGATATTTGATTGGAGGAGCTGCTCTAAGCGTGTATTTTTCATGCAATGTTTGATACCTCACGGCGAATGAGAGAAAAAAAAACCTCTCCATTTTCCGGAAACTTAGATGCACACGGCAGGTAGCGTCAGAAAGCCGCGTGTGTTATTCTGCTCACTAAATGCGGTGAAAATCCTACACGAGGTTAAAGTTTGGTTGTGGTGCTAACATGTTTACACTCAGTGCAATAGTTAACTTAGTTCGATATGAACAAACTGAATAAACAAAGAGCACTGGTCGCTCACTTACCAAATCTGTAGAGACAGGACAATCACCAGCAACTAGAGCCGCGTCTTTATGAAGAGGAGACTACAAGCGAATCCGGATCTCAGCGTTTGCAGATGAGAACAGCTCTCAGGTAAACAATAATCCTCCTTAGACACGTAAGTTATTGTTGTCGAGCGTCGCGTACACTGTTAATCCACACGTGACTCCAGCTGAGCTCTCACAGAGAGAAAATGAAAACAAAACTTCACTGCAGCAAACTATAAAAGCAACACTTCACGCTTGTTTTGCCAACACAACGTGGCGTCTCTGTGTCTAAACACTGTGACAGTAATGAATATTAATGAAGTTGCACAATAGAGCGTGCTGATTGGTTTGAACCAAGCTTTACTCATGCATTAATGCAGCACACTGTAAGACGTAATAAGACACACTCTGGCACAGACGCCCAGTCTGCACGCTGGAATACACGCTATTATGTCATGACCGTGACGCAGCTTCAAAAATTAGTTTCAAACAGGAAGTACGAATTTGCTTGAAATAACACAAAAACAACCAATTTACACTTTTTAGTGAAATATAGGTGTCCTAATAGTGTTTTTAGCAGTGTGGGACACATATACCACTGTCAACAGCTCAACACATGTGTTTTGGTGTTTCGTGACCCTTTAAGGAAAGCCCCAATCAGAGAGGCGAATGTCAGCAGCCCCGCCTCCGTTTTCAGATGTCTCCGTTTTCCCCCATCCACACTGAGACAGAGCAGCAGCGTTTCAGAATAAAAACAGCCTCTTCAGCGTTTACAAATGCTCTGCTTTTGGCTTTTGGAAACTCCGGCGTAGTGTGGACGGATAGCCTTAGCAAAACTTATGCATTTTAAAACGAAAACACAGTGTAAACGGGGCCTTACTATACTGAACTCCATATAAAAGACAGAAACTCTTCTGCACGGGCTGATCTAAGTGGGTTAACGCTGACAACTGATGATCAACAGTTTAAATGACTAATTGTCCCTCTTACTAACTAGGAAAACCAGCAACAATCAAGAATGCATGATTATATGCTGTCATGGCTTTGCAATCAATAAATGTGATTAAAATTAAAGTCAATGGGGCAAAAACAGCCCCGACATAACCAAAGGGGGAGTCAATCTGAACAGCACACAATGGTTAATTCATTTCTGTTGGGACAGCATGAAGGAATTGTGTGCAATCTTTTACAAAATGTCTCTCTCTCTCTTTCCTCCCTCAGTGTAGCGATGCTGCGGATGGAGATAAACGTGGATTTGCTCTCACCGAATGCCCATCTTCTTCTTCATCCAGAGCACAGCTTGTTTTGTGCCAAGCCAGAGGTGATGGGACGTCCCGAATGCTTCCCTGTTTGTTGGTGCACTCGGCCTCAGTCCACCCGCTCTGGTTGCCTCAGGGAGGTGGAAAGGGATTATTAAATAAGACCACTATTGGCTCAGGGAGCATACACACTTTCTATGGAAACGAGATGGCCGTAATCATCCAAGCGGTGGTGCGATGAGAGGCTGATTACTAGTCTGTCATTTACAGAAGTCAACATGAGAAATCAGTTCACACATGCTGAAGCTGCTGCGCTTGTTTTTTAAGCGTGCGTACATATTGAAATGCATCAAAATTGAACGCGTTCATAGCTTAAAATGTAGGAGGTCTGAGTAATGACTGCAATTTAAAAGGAAGTCGCTCATTTTTCTGACCTCGTTTTGTTGTGTTTTAAGCAAAACTAAATAATTATAATGCATTTGTGTTCTGGTGCGAGACGTTTATCTTACAGTTTTTAAGTTAAGATGTTTTCGTTGTGCTGAATGCACTAAACAACAGAAGTATCTGCAAATGGGCTCTGAAGAGTAAAGTCAAATTGAGACTCAATTTTCTGACACCATTAGCAGACTTTTATTTATTTACTTGCATTAATTTCCAGTACAATCTTCGTCAAAATGAAAGGTGTTATAGTGCACTGATGCACACAATAACAAAAGTGTGCAAACAAATGGATCATTTAATTAGGTTAAGCCAAGATCAAATTTCTCACACCAAGTTACTTTAGTTACTGTTACTACTACTAATTAATTCATTTATGTATTTATTACTCGCTCAGTTATCTCGGTTTGAAACGTTTTAGATAATAGTTTTGACAAAAACAAGACAAGAACACAAAGAAAATTAGTTAGAAATGTATTTATTTACTTATTAATTTATTTACTTAATAAAAATTGAAGGTTTTTTTTTAACCCAACGTTTGGTCAAATATGGACCAACCAAACAGTTGGGTTAAAACATGTAATGCAAATGATTCATTTTTGACCAAACATTAGGTTTAAACAACCCACAACATTTAGAGCACTTTTAATTTATTTATTTTATTATATATATATATATTTTTTTTGCAATAGGTTGCAATATAGAGATGCTGGGTTGTCACATCTAACGTTGGGTTAAATAATGACAAACCAAAACAATTTTAATTACACTTTTTAACCAAACAGTTGGATTTGTCCATAGTTGACCCACTGTTGGGTTATGGCATATTTTACACGTGAAAATTGTTGGTTTGTATTAACCCAATGTTGGGTCAAATGGACAAACACAACTGCTTTTTTTCATATAATATATCATATAAAAATATAATATAAAAATAAATATAATTGTAGAACAGAATAAGACAGTTTAGATGATCCATTTTTGACTAAAAGTTAAGTTAAAACAACCCACAACATTTACAGCACATTTAATTATTATTTGCAATAAGTTGCAATATAGAGATGCTGGGTTGTCGCAATCCAACGTTGATGGGTTTATAAATAATTTAAATTTAATTCAATTTACCTTTATGTATATAGCACTTTCACAACGATTGTGTCAAAGCAGCTTCACATAGAATAAGAAAGACAGTTTAGTTGATCCATTTTGACCAAACATTGGGTTAAAACAACCCACTGCCTTTAGAGCACATTTAATTTATTTTGCAATAAGTTGCAATATAAACATGCTGGGTTGTTGCAATCCAGCGTTGGGTTAAATATCGACAAATGGAACAATGGCTTAAACTTAATTTATTCTAATAGACACTTTTAACCAAACAGTTGGATTTGTTTATTCATGTTTGACCCAATGTTGGGTTACAGCATATTTTACTTCAAAATTGTTTTATTAACCCAACATTGGGTCAAATATGGACAAACCCAACTGCTTTTTAAAGATCATTTAGTGTAGTGTAGGGTGTGTGAATTTAGATTGAATGATTCTAACAATGGCTGGGTTGTTTTAACCCGATGTTGGGTCAAATATGCACAAATCAAACAGATGGGTTAATACATAACTTAAATGATACATTTTTGACCAAACATTGTGTTAAAGCAACCCGCCATCTTTAGAGCACATTTAGTTTTTATTGCGACAAGTTGCGATATAAAAATGCTGGGTTGTTACAATCCAAGGTTGGGTCAAATATGTACAAACCCAACAATGGGTTCATCCTTCAATTACATTTATTTACTCTTTTAAAACAAATTGTTGGACTTGTCCATATTTGACCCAATGTTGGGTTACAGCATATTTTACACTTTAAAATTGTTGGTTTTTATTAACCCAATATTGGGTCAAATATGGACAAACCCAACTACTTTTTAAAGATCATTTAGTGTAGTGTAGGGTGTGTGAATTTAGATTGAATGATTCTAGAAGCTGCAGGGTTGTTTTAACCCAATGTTGGGTCAAATATGCACAAATCAAACAGATGGGTTAATACATAATTTAAATGTTAAATTTTTGACCAAACATTGTGTTAAAGCAATCCGCCATCTTTAGTTTTTCTTTAGTATATTTAGTTTTTATTGCGACAACTTTCAATATAAAAATGCTGGGTTGTTAAAATCCAAGGTTGGGTCAAACCCAACAATGGGTTCATTCTTTCAATTACATTTATTTACTCTTTTAAAACAAATTGTTGGACTTGTCCATATTTGACCCAATGTTGGGTTCCAGCATATTTTACACTTTAAAATTGTTGATTTGTATCAACCCAATATTGGGTCAAATATGGTCAAACCCAACTGCTTTTTCATCATTTGCTGTAGTGTAGGAGGTGTGAATTATGATTTCTTGATTCTCGAATGGCTGGGTTGTCGTAACCCAATCTTTGGTCAAACATAGACAAACCCAATCTTTGGGTTAAAAAGTGTCATTAGAATTGAATTGAGCTTGTCTATATTTGACCTTCCATTGGGTCAAAACGGGTTCTTAAACTCGGTCTTGTAGATTTTAGCTCCAACTTGCCTCATCACACCGGCACGGATGTTTCTAGAAAGCCTAGTAAGAGCTTGATTAACCAGCCCAGGTGTGTCTGATTGAGATCGAAGCTAATCTCTGCTGGACACCGGCCCTCCAGGACCAAGTTTGAGAACCCCTGGGTTCAAACAAGCCAGCGTTTGCTTTTAAGAATCTAGTTGACCGTAATGACAGACGGTTTGATGCTGCAGAAATCAGCACAGAAACACCCTTCCCATCGAACATGAATCTCAGAGCATCGGATCAAGGAAAGTCCATCATGTTATTAAACAGACCTCGGCTCCAGAACTGAGAAACTCTTGCACTGGTCACTTCCTGCGTCCTCTTTTAGCCACATTTCTCCTGACTGCATGTGCCCAGCTCTCGTGCTCTTGTTTTGTAATCAGCAAAAGGACATTTAAAAGCACGAGGAGGACTTTATTTATTAGTGTGAAGGCTTTGGGAAGCTATTTTGACCACCAAAGTGAATCTTCATGTGTAGCAATGGCCGTCTACAGCTGACGTCAGAATTATTCGCCCTCCTGTGAGTTTCTTTTCTCAAATATTTCCCAAATGATGTTAAACAGATTCAGGAATTTCTCACAGTGTTTCCTATAATATTTGTTCTTCTGGAGAAAGTCTTATTTGTTTTATTTCGGCTAGAATAAAAGCAGTTGTTAATTTTTTTTAACACCATTTTAAGGTCAATATTTTGAAGCAACTTTTGTTTTGGATCGTCTACAGAAAAAACCCTCTGTCAAACAATGACTTGGCTATTTAACCTTACTTAATTAACACCTAGTGAAGCCTTTAAATGTGACTTTAAGCTGAATACTAGTGTCTTAAAGAATATCTAGTCTAATATTATGTGCTGTCATCATGGCAAAGAGAACAGAAATGACTGAACTAACTGTTCAACTGAACTAATAACTCTGACTTCAGCTGTACGTCAGAAACCACTGCTTTATTTAGCCCTAGTAAAGCCATATGTTATCATGCATACAGTACGTCTGCCATTGAGATAATCAGGCCATTGCTGATCCACTGTGATCCAAACAGTGCTTGTGTATATTTTGTGTAATATGTAAAATGAAAAGGAAGTATTCTACAATATAGAATTTTTGAAATACGATATATATATATATATATATAGATATAAATATAAACCACGCCACTTAATAGATGCATCCTTTTTGTTCCACGTGTTTATTTGCGTTCTTCATTCCAGAGGAGCTTCACGTTGAGAAATATCTAGCACTATATATGATCTGTACACTGTAATTATGTTTGCATCGTTTCATTTGCTGTTTATTTGGAAAATGCAGATGTTTGGAGTCATTCTTTCATGCATATTTTATGGTTTTTTGAAGACAACACTGAGAGAATTACACTGCTAAATGCGTTTCTTTATTTAGAGGTTTTGTCTTGTTTCTAAATATTCATCAATCAAGAAGCATTTTCTGGAGAAGGGGAAAATATTGTTTTGTTTTCAGGAAAGTCAAAATGAAATAAGCTATTTAAGTGTAATATGAAGCAATCAAAATAATTATTTAATTGTTTTTCACCATAATGGTAGACTATTTTGCTTGTTTTAATGAAAAATTTAGTTTTCACTTGTTTTTTTTCTTGATTTTTAAAAAAATAAATGCATAAATAAGTCAAATGAAGTGAATTTCTCTTTAAAATAATCCCAATCTAAATCAAGTATTTTTTCTTCCCCGAGTGGTAGATTATTTTACTTGTTTTTTTCTAAAATTTAGTTTTAATTGTTTGTTTGTTTGTTTGTTTACTATTATTTTTATTCACTTAGCCATTCAAAATGACAGGTTTGTAACCAAATGTTGGTTCAAATGTCATATTTATTATCATATTTTATTTATATATGTACTTTAAATTATAATTTTTGGCCCAATGTCGGGTTACAGCTATTTTCTATACCTGAAAAAAATAAATAAATATAAGAATAAAACTCAAAATGAAGTGAATTTCTTGAATTTGAATTTTCAAGTTTATTTAATTTTTTTTTACCATAATGGTAGATTTATTTGCTTGTTTTAATAAAAAAACTTAATTTCTTACTTGTTTTTTGTGATTTTTTTTAAACAAATGCATAAATAAGTAAAATTATGTGAATTTCTTTCTTACAAAATCACAATAATCAAAAACAAGTCAATTTTTCTTTCCCCAGGGATAGATTATTTTGATTGTTTTTGTGAAAACCTTAATTTTGATTTGTTTTTTCCTGAAATTTAAATATTTATTTATTTATTTATTTATTTATTTATTTATTTATTTATTTACTTAGCCTACTAAAATGGCAGGTTTATTAACCAAATGTTGGTTCCAATATCATATTTTGTATCATATTTTATATACATACCAAAAGAAATGTACCTTAAATTATAAATGTTGACTTTGATTTTCTGAAAAAAATAAATAAATGTATAAATATAAAGTCAAAAAGAAGTGAATTTCTCCTTCTTTGCTTGTTTTTATGAACATTTTTTTTTACTTTTTTTTGCTGAATAGTTTTATTTTAAAATCTTATTTGTTTGTTTGCTTGTTTATTTACTTATTTATTTATTATTTTTATTTGCTCATTCAACCTACTGAAAATGGCAGGTTAACAAAATACTGGGTCAAATATACTTTTTGTCATACACACACAAAAAAAAATTATATATATATATATATATATATATATATATATATATATATATATATATATATATATATATTTTTTTTTTTTTTAGCCAAGGTTGGGTTAAAAACAACCTACTATTTTTTAGAGCACATTTATTTTCTTTTTGCAGTTAACTCAATGTGGTAATGCTGTTGATTTGTTAAATAATAAATGAATCATGTTTTTTTTTCTTTAAAAAGCAACACAAATGTGTTAAAGTTGCAATCTAAAAAATGCTGGGTAGTTATAAATATGGACAATTGAATTTTAAAATCTCATATTTGACCCCATATTGAGTTACAGCATAGTTTACATTCTAAGGGTGCACTCACACTAGGTCATCTGAACCGTGCCCAGGCATTTGACCCCCATGTCTCAGTTCATTTGACAAGTGTGAGTGCTCTGAATTGGGCCCAGGCACAGTTTATTTGGCTGGCCCTGGCCCATTTGAAAGAGGTGTGCCAAAGCGTGGTTCGGTTGGGCTTTGACGTGCACACTTGTATGAGTGCAAAGCGCAAAGACCCGACGTCACTTTTAAGGGACTGTTTGATATAGATTTATTAATCATTCTTACTGTTCAATGAACGCAAACTATCATAGTTTATTAAAGATGCAAACCCCTCACTGTACAACAGCAGCACCTTTAGCAAACCTCCAGCTAATACCTGCAGCTCGAGGACTTTATGATCATTTTTGAGCGTCAAAGCAGTGGATCTGTTCAGCAAAAGAGTGTTTGCAAAAGATTGAGTGTCTCTGCATCCCAAATGACTTGAAATATACAAAATAAAATATAACTAAAGCAATAGCCATTGTACGGAGCAAGAGAGCTTATCTTCTATCGAACTGAACAGTCGCATCATTGATGATGTAAGCAGTCCATGTGTGCAGTGTGTGCAGGGCGAAGGAGAAAGGGGAGACAAGCGCGATTCAAGGCAGCTGTACCTAGTGTGAGTACACCCTAAAAATGTGAGTTTTATTAAAACGTTGGTTCAAATGTGGACACATTTTTTCCTGAAAACCAAACCCTATTTTCTCTTGTCTAAAAAATCTTTTTTTTATTTAGGAATTTGTGAATATTTGGGCTAGAACAAGACAAAAACTCTAAGTTAGAAACTTTTTTTTTTTCTGAATTAAACGATAAATAATTTCTGAGACAAAATCCAGAATCAAACATTTTATTTCATGTTGACTTTAAATTAAAACAATGTTTTATTTGAATCATCTTCATTAAAAATTTCAGCTTGTACACTCTGTGATCTTGTCTTTCTTTCCCCTCGCGAGCCATTTTATATCCTAATAGTAATTATTATATAAACTACATATTGAAGAAAAATACAATATTAGAAAAATGTACAGTGCGTGCGTACAGTATTGATAGAGCTTCACTTCTTTCACATTTATTTATGTTAAAGCCTTAATCCAAAATGGATTAAATTGATTAATTTCTTCAACATTCTACACACAATCCCCCATAATGACAATGTGAACAGTTTTTGAAATTGTTGCAAATTTTTTACAAATAATAAAGCTGATAAATCAGATGTACATCAGTATTCAGTCTTTATCGTGAAGCTCTACAG